GTCCTCCTCCATGCCAATCCCCCCCACCCCCCCACATCCATCAGTCCTCAGTTTTTGTCAGCATTCAAGAGTCTCTCATGGTTTGCCTCTCTCCCTTTCCCCCAACATTTCCCCCCTTCTTCTCCCCCTTGTTCCTCCGTCAAGTTCCTCCTAATCCTCCTATACGTGCAAACATATGATATTTGTCCTTAGAGAAGGGATTTTAAATCCTTCAGCTCTCTATTTTCTTGAGAGTTAAATTTTTTTTCCAGCTTTATTGAGATAGTACTAACATTTATTATTTTAAGGTATACCACATGGTGATTTGACATAGGCAAATATTTTGTGAAATTATTATTACAGTAAGGTTAGTTAATACCTGCATCCCCTCACATAATTACCTTTCTGTGTGTGATGATAACTATTAAGATCTCCGTTCTTAACAACTTATAAGTTTACAGTATAGAATTGTCAATGACAATGCTCGTGCTGTACATTAGGCCCCCAGAGCTTATGCATGCTGTAGGCAGAAGTTTGTGCCCTTTGACCACCTTTACCCATTTCCAAGCCCCTGGCCCTGGAAACCACCATTCTATTCTCTATTTCTTTGAGTTTGGCTTTTTTGACCCCACTTGAGTGAGAGCACAGTCTGTCTTTCTCTGTCTGACTTATGTCACTTGGTATAAGGCCCATCCTTATTGCAAAAAGCAGATCTCCTTCTTCTTGTGGCCGAATAACATCGTACATACATCCCACATTTTCTGTCTGCTCATCTGTTCAAAGACACTTGGGTTATGTCCATGCCTTGGCTATGGTGAATAATGCCGCAGTGAACACCTGATATCTCTTCAAGGTAGTGATGTCATTTCTTTTGGATCAATCCCCAGAAGTGGGATTGCCGGTTCATATGGTAGCTTTGTTTTTAATTTTTCAAGGGACCTCCCAACTGCTTTCCAGAGTGTCTGCTCCCGTTTACATTCCCACCAAGAACGCGCAAGTGTTCCCCGTTTTCACAGACGCACCAACACTTTTATCTCAGATCTTTGATGACAGCCATTCTAACAGGTGTGAGGTGGTGCCCATTGTGGGTTTGATTTGCATTTCCCTGATGATGAGCGACGTTGCGTACCTCTTGATGTACCTGTTGGCCATTTGTAGGTCTTCAAAGTATCTATTCAAGTTCTTTGCCCATTTTTAAATCGAATTCTTTGGAAAATTTTCTACTCTTTGAAATAGTTCACTTGAAGTCTGTCTCTCAGGCTTCTTTATGATTAATATAACAATAAAATGTAGATTTCACAATACATAGTATTAAGAACTCAGAACCAAAATCTACGTATGTGCTGTTCACAAGATGCATGCTTAAAGTGATGCGGGACAATTATGAAACGGTGGGAAAACAGAGGTACTGATCACAGGTGCAGTTGGATCTAAAATAAAAACATTAATTGAGGCAAAGGTGCTAGTTTTTTTTTTTTAATTAAGCAGGAGAGGCCATCATGAAAATGTAGCTTCTGCAACATTTATGGGAATGAATAGCATCACGTCAGTAGATATGAAGAAACCTGTTTAAATTCCATAGAGAAACTGAAAGGAACACAGTAGCTGTGGGAGCTGCTTCAACTCATTTTTCTTGAAATCTCACAGCTAGAGTAGTCAAAACAGTTGATTGAATAGACACATAGAAAATGTGTATATTGGAGCATAAACACGATTCCAGATGCACATGAACATTTTACAAAAACTGATCATATCCTAAGCCATAATGAAAACCCAATACCAGAAAGATAAAATTCTAGGAGTCATGTTTTCTGACCATAATAGCAAAAGAATACATTATATGAAAACTCTTCTCCAAATAACTTAGGGTAAAAAAAAAAAACCCTTAATTTATAGAATACATACTTTTTTATTTGAGGTGGGGGTAGGGGCAGTGAGAGAGAGAGTCTCAAGCAGGCTCCATACTCCGCGCGGTGCCCAGCATCGGGGGCTGGATCCCACGATCCCAGGATCATGACTTGAGCTGAAATCAAGATTTGGATGTCCAACCGACTGAGCCACCCAGGTGCCCCATAGAAGTAAAAAAAAATTTTTTTAATATTTATTTTTGAGAGAGAGACAGAGATAGAGACAGAGAGTGAATGGAGGAGGGGCAGAGAGAGAGGGAGACACAGAATCCGAAACAGACTAGAGGCTCTAAGCTGTCAACACAGAGCCCAACGTGGGGCCTAAACCCACAAACTGTGAGATCATGACCTAAGCCAAAGCCAAACACTTAACCAACTGAGTCACCCAGGCGCATTCCCCCGCCACACACACACAGCATAGACTACTTTTAAAAACGTTTATGTGATATACAGTTAAAATGCTCATCATGGGGAAAAATCATAGTTATAGAGCAGGGGTTCTCAACTTCAGCACTACATTTTGGGGTATGTAATTCTTTGGGGGCAGTGTGTGGAGGGGGCATTCTACACATTGTAGGACATTTAGCATTATCCCTGACCTCTACCTGCTAGATGCTAATAGAACCCACTCCATACACACACACACACACACACACACACACACACCCCAGTTGTGAAAGCCAGAGGTGTCTCTGGACATTGCCAGATTCCTCGGCAAATGGTTGCTGTCCGGACCTCTGCCCTAGATAGTAACGTTATTAGAAAAGAAAATCTGAGAGGCTTCTGGGTGGCTCAGCTGGTTAAGCATCCGACTCTGGATTTCACCTCAAGTCATGATGTCATGGCTCATGAGTTTGAGCCCAGTGTCGGGCTCTGTGCAAACAGCACGGGCGGGGTCTGCTCAGGATTTGCTCTCTCTCTCTCTCTCTCAGTCTCTCTCTCTGCCTCTCTCCTGTTTGTGCTCTCTCTCTCAAATAAATAATCAAAAAAAGAAAAATGTAAAAGTAAAAAAATTATTTAATTTGAAAAGCTACATAAAATGCAACTTATGATACCAGAGGTCAATAGTAATAGAGAAGAAAGCAAAATTTAATAATCAAAAAACTTGTCAAATTGATTTTTTTTTAAATATAAGAACTGGTTCTTTGGGTAGGTAGTTAAAACATATAAACTCTTACAGAGGAAATTTTTTAAAAAGCAACATGCATTCACAGTATAATTGGGAATGGGGATTGAACTACAAAAACTATAGAGTAGGTTAAAAATATGATAACTTTATCCCAGTTATATGCTGTTAGTGTTAAACTGTGGACGGAGTAGACAGTTGAAATATATATGTATATAACTTACCAGAATTAACTGAAGAAAATATGGAAACTAAAATAACCATGGAAAATATTATAAAAATTAGTATTTCAAAAAGCACATAACACAAATGCCAGCATTTACCAAAGATAACCCCCCAAAGAATGGAAATGAGGAGACACTGAAAAAGAAAATTCCTCAGAACTGAGGAGACACCAGACGAAACCAAAGAAACACACATCAAGGCAAAGATGGTGATGTTCCAGTTAGATTCCACTGAAATCAAGGCAAAAGGAGGCACTTTATAATAATAATGTTAATGGGGCACCTGGGTGGCTCAGTCAGCTAAGTATTCAACTCTTGGTTTCAGCTCTGGGAACAATCTCGTGGTTTGTGAGTTCGAGCCCCGCATTGGGCTCTCCGATGACAGTGCAGAGCCCGCTTGGGATTCTCCCTCCCTCTCTTTCTGCCTCTCTCTCAAAACAAATAAATAAACTTTTTAAAAATCTCATTAAAAACATTCAATCCATAATGAAGACATAATTGACAGTTTTATTTTTCCAATAAAAACCAACATCGGGCTCTGTGCTGACAGCTCAGAGCCTGGAGCCTGCTTCAGATTCTGTGTCTCCCTCTCTCTCCCTCTGCCCCTCCCCAACTCATGCTTTCTCTCTCTCTCTCTCTCTCTCTCAAAAATAAACATTAAATTAAAAAAAATTTTTTTAAATTAGAAAAAAAGAAATTTGATTCTTTTGAGGAGAAAAAATCTCCCACATAATAAAATGGGAAATCCATGAACTTGCCTAACGAAGATAACATGGGATGTCAGAAATTACAAAAGGAAAATAACCACAGATGCAAAGGAAATAAAAACAGGGGCGCCTGGCTGGCTCAGTCAGTGGAGGGTTGATCTCAGGGTTGTGGGTTCAGGCCCCACATTGTGTGTAGAGATTACTTAAAAAATAAGAAGAAATAAAAATAATCATAAGTATATGTAAATTGTTATGCCTCACTCAACTGTGTGCATGTGTGTGTGTATATACATAAAATATTTAGGTGAAAAGAACACACCGTTCTACAGATGTATTTCGTATGAGAAATGCCTGTATATAAAAATCAGGAGCTTTCTTATATTCCAAAAATAACCAGTTAGGAGTATCAAAGGGAAGATTTGATAAGAAAATTACTGACTTAGAGGAAGAAAACTACAAAGCTTTATTAAGGGGTTTATTTATTCTGTGTATTTAACAAACCCTTATACATAATATATGGCTTACTAAGTGCCAGGCACATTTTGTCCTACCCAGCTCTAGAAGGTAGTTTTAATTATCATCTGCATTTTTTGGATGAAGTAACTGAAGCACAGAGAGGTTAAATAACTTGGCCAAGGTCACCCAGCTTACAAGTGGCTGAACTGGGATTCAAAACAGTCAGCCTCCAGTGCCTGTGCTCTTTGCTGTAGCGCCGCCTAGTGAGTAAATGAAGAGACACACCGTGTCCCAGGAGGGAAGACTCGGTATCATAAAATGATCAATTCGCTGCGGGCCTGAGCTCTCTGGCAAGGGCTGACCTGCTGATTGTCTGTCCGGGGTCAATGTCAACAGAAAGCAAACTGTCAGGGAGCTGTAGGCTGCCCCTGGGCGCACCGAATCTCAGCCCCAGCCCCCGCCAGAGCCCGTGGAAGCCCAGCTCGGAGTGGAGCCCCCCACCCTTCTCAGCTGCATGGCGCTGCTCTGAGTCCCACCGTGCAGGTGTGATGGTGGCAGGCAGGTCCTCCCTAACTCACAGTGCCCTGTCCTCTTCTCTTAGATCCAGGAGATGGTCCACTCGGAGGTTGCTGCCTACGACTCGGGCCGGCCAGGGCCCCTGCTGGGCCGCCCGGCGATGCTGGCCAGCCACATGAGTGCCCTCAGCCAGTCCCAGCTCATCTCTCAGATGGGCATCCGGAGTGGCATCGCCCACAGCTCCCCGTCACCCCCAGGGAGCAAGTCAGCGACGCCATCTCCCTCCAGTTCAACTCAGGAGGAGGAATCAGAAGCACATTTCAAGGTAGGGAGGGTGGAGACGCAGAGCCTGAAGATGCCGTCCTGTTAGCAGGTGGGTGGGCCCTGCATGGAAACTGGAGTCCCCTACCTCTAGGCAAGACGAGAAGGGTCTAACTGGACCCTTTGCCAGAAGACACAGAGGAGGAGAATCAGCAGGTAGAACAGGGCCCGCTGGCTGGACCGCCTGGGCAGTGGAGATGGCGTGGCTGGAATTTGGGATTTCAGGCTTCAACTGCTAAATTTGCCGAGCGGCCTTGACAAGATCCTCAGGGTCACATCTTAGGGCCACGCTGGCGTTTTTGGAGAAAATATTCTAACAAAAATGTGTGGTCCAGCAGAAGGCATCTCTGGGCTGCGCTGACCACAGGATGGGGCGCTAAAAACGAACGCCACCACCCCAGCCACTGGGGACACGCCCTCCCCCAACATCCCTGGAGTCACGAATGGTCCTGCCTCTAGAGAACAGTTCGGGGGGGACAGGTCACCAGCTGTCCACGCTGCCCTTTCTTTGCACTGACACATCTCCCTGGCTATTGGAAAGCATCTTGTTTTCCCGGGGCCGAAAAGAGAGGCCCGGAAAGGCCAGGGATGGAAGCGGTGGCTGGGAGTCTCCCAGTGAGCCCGTGGCAGAATCTAAACTTGATCCCACAACTCCCGCCTCCCTTCCTTCTTCCTAAGGTCCTCTCACCCCTTTCCACACGGTGGCCCCGCAGACGCCTGGGGCGGGACCCGTGGTCCCGTGCCCTCTAACAGAGACCCTGACCGCTCTGGAGCTGGTCCAGCTTCATCCTCAGGATAACTTGGTCTCTGCCATAGGCCAGGCAGGAGCAGTTGTTATTATTATTATTATTATTATTATTATTATTTTATTGAACAGACACTTGGGCCCAGACACTGTTCTAAGCACATAACAAGTATTAATCCACGTAATCCTCACGACAGTCCTGCGCGATAGGCGCCACCATCATCTCCAGTTGGCCAATGGGAAAACTGAGGCCCAGAGAGGTTATGTAACTTATCCAGCGTCACCCAAGCAGGATTCACCCCGAGGTGGTTACAGTCTGGCTCCAGTGTATATGCTCTTGGCCACCTGGGTGCACCAGGGGCATCGGGGGCGGCCAGTGGCAGAGAGGCAGGAACACAGCCCGCGCTGCTCCAACTGTCCCTCGCCATCCCTCAGCCACGGAGGCCTGAATTTTGTCCAGTGGCCTGCAGTTTCCCTATCAGTCCCCAGTGTCGCCTTCATCTGCTTGGTGCAGAGTGACAGTCCTCACTGCAGGATCCAGGGCCTTTGGCCAAAGTTCCTGGTCCCTCCTGCGTGGCCTGAGGGGTCCTATTAACAACCTGCTGAGGTCTGAGGTGAGCATCCCTATTCTGTTCCCATCGCAAGGCCTAAGTCCGACACCCATGGGATTGGAGTCCTGGAGTCCGATAGCTCCCGAACGCCAGGTGTCTAGAGTGAGGCCACACCCAGCGAGTCACATAACCCTGTTTCCATCCAGCCATTTCACAAGGGCCCCAGGGGACTCTGCCCCCTGCCCCAAGTTGCACACCTGAAAATTGGTGGGGGACACTGATCTTTTGTGATTAAGGATCATCTTTGGGGATGATTTATGATCACAAGAAAGGAGAGCTGTTAAGAAAAATATATATAGGGGCACCTGGGTGCCTCAGTTGGTTAAGCCTCCAACTTCGGCTCATGTCATGATCTCATGGTTTGTGGGTTTGAACCCCGCGTTGGGCTCTGTGCTGACAGCTCAGAGCCTGGAGCCTGCTTCAGAATCCGTGTCTCCCTCTCTCTCTCTGCCTCTCCCTTGCTTGTGCTCTGTCTCTCTCTCTCTCTCTCAAAACATAAACATTAAAAATTTTGAAAAAAGAAAAAAATATATATAACTTGGAAATTGGGCCCTGAACAACATTGCACGCTCTTTCAGTGGCATACCACAGCATTGTCCGCACAACTACCCCCTCCCCTGGGAGAAGTGATCGATCAGGGGATTTTACACTCTGTGAAGTTAGAGGTGAACTTGGGAAAGAAGTGGTAGAGATGTAAACAATTTTTGTCTGATTACAAGGCAAATTAATTTTTCCCTGTAGAGATGCAAATGACTTCTGCCCCGTAGAAAAGATTAAAAGCCCCCAAAAGCGATAGTTTCATTACCCCGAAGGGCAGAGTTTCGCTCATATTTCTTTCAATCAACTTTGCCACCTTGCTGATTTTCATTAATGAGTTAAACACAGACCGCGGGGCTCCTAGCGCCTACCCAGGCTGTGTGTCCGCCTGTTGCCTCCCTCACCTAGAGAGCGGGGAGCACGACCACGTGTTCAAGCCCAGGGTGGCGGCCAGCCCACCGTTGCCCACGCGTGCACGGAATCGGACAGGGAGGTGGTGGGGGGCGGTGGAAGGTCCCCTCTGCCTCAGGCTGGGCTGGGCAGCCTATGACGGGATGCCCCTGGCTTCTCTGTGTTTCTGACCCCTCTCACCTGCACAGGCATCCGGAGAGAAGAGGCCCTCCGCTGACCCGGGAAAAAAGACCAAGAACCCAAAGAAGAAGAAGAAGAAGGACCCCAACGAGCCTCAGAAGCCTGTGTCGGCCTATGCTCTCTTCTTCAGAGACACTCAGGCCGCCATCAAGGGACAGAACCCCAGTGCCACCTTTGGGGATGTGTCCAAAATCGTGGCCTCTATGTGGGACAGCTTGGGAGAGGAGCAGAAGCAGGTGAGTCTCTGTCCCTTTTGGGACCATCCCCCGAGGCATTGTGGCCCTGGAGCCAGTGACAGACTTGGAATGTCTGAAACCAGGAAGACGCTCCTACAGAGGTCTTTCCTGGACTCAGTCTGCCCATCTGTAAGCTGGGAAGCTATTCCAGTTCTGCTGTTTGCCAGCGGCAGTCACTAGTGACTTAACCATTCTGGATTTTGCCTTCCTTATCTGTAAAACAAGACTAAGCATCTCGATCCGCCTTGTCCCTCCAACTGTGCGAGTCTGGAGTCCGGGCCAGAGCTTCCTCTCCCACCACTGAGGGCATCCGGGGCAGAGAGGGAGCAGACCCAGCTCCTAGGCAGATTCCAGGCACGAGCTATGGGACCCCGGGCTGACCGCCGGAGCTCTCCCTAGTTGCCCATGTCTTGGCTCTTTCAGGCCTACAAGAGGAAGACCGAAGCAGCAAAGAAGGAATATCTGAAGGCTCTGGCAGCCTACAGGGCCAGCCTTGTATCCAAGGTAACACCCTGACCATGGGCCCGGCCCTGATAAAGGTGGCACCACCCAAGGATTAGAACAAGAACCGAGGCCCACGGGAAAGGTCAACGCTATAGATTCTGGAGAGGATGGATAAGACCAATGTGGTCACTTCTCCGGTGCACCTACTGTGTGCTGCGCTTACGCTGGGCACTTGCGTGCATCCGTTACATTTAATTCTTCCAACGAGAACCCAGCATTCAGTCAGGTTAGGCGACTTGTCTGACATGATGAGTGTAGAGGCGTCGTCTGGAAGCTATCATAGAGGACATGGCAGGGGGGTTAGGCCGTAAAGGGTCAAGTTGCGGGGGGGGTGTTCCAAGTTGAGGGGACAGCACCTGCAAAGGCATAGAGGCCGTAGCGGAGCATACATAGAGGGTGGCCCAGCTGGGTGACACTGGCTTCATGGGCCAGGCTGCGGGGCACAAGCCTCATGGGCAGGGAACCCCAGGGATTAATGCAGGAGGTGGTTGGAGGGTCGCAGCCAAGTGCACTGAGGACCCAGCACTTCCTCTGGTTAGCCCACAGCTCCCCGCCAAGGGGCCGGAGAGCCAGCCAGGGGCCATGGCAGTGGGCTGCAGACCCAGCTGGTCTCACGGCCCACGTTCTGGCTTATCCATCTTCTCCAGAGTCATTGGTGTCTGTCTTCTTGCAGAGCTCCCCGGAGCAGGGCGAGACCAAGGGCACTCAGGCAAACCCGCCGGCCAAAATGCTGCCACCCAAGCAGCCCATTTATGCCATGCCGGGCCTGGCCTCCTTCCTGACACCATCGGACCTGCAGGCCTTCCGCAGCGGGGCCTCCCCTGCCAGCCTTGCCCGGACACTGGGCTCCAAGTCACTGCTGCCTGGCCTCAGCGCGTCCCCGCCACCACCCCCCTCCTTCCCTCTCAGCCCCCCACTGCACCAGCAGCTGCCACTGCCGCCGCACGCCCAGGGTGCCCTCCTCAGTCCGCCTGTTAGCATGTCTCCGGCCCCCCAGGCTCCTGTCCTGCCCACTCCCATGGCACTGCAGGTGCAGCTGGCTATGAGCCCCTCACCTCCAGGGCCACAGGTAAGGAGGGCCCGGTAGGAACATGCCCTGCGGGACCCCTGTGGGGAAGGGAGGCAGCTTGGGATTTCAGCTCCTGGCCCTGCCCCTCACCAGCCTAGACTCCCTGCCTCTCTCTGAGCCTCAGTCATCACATCTATGAAATGGGTCTAGTATACCTTCCCTGAGATATACCAGCTGCAGTGAACGATTGACAAGTCCCGAGACAGACGCTTCAGATTCTTAGGATATCCCAGGCCCCCCTTCTCTTCTCCTCTGTTCATTTCTGCTCTCTGGCTCTCGGGGGGCTGAGGGCCATGCAGCCGCTGCCATATCAGCCCCAGTCACTGACTCTCCCCAGTGCCTTCAAAGTCTGACCCCCCTCATGGTTCCATAGACACTCTTACGAGACTTGTGTGGCTCAGCACAATAACTCCATTTTACAGACTGGGAAACCAAGGCCAGAAAAGGAAAGGCCTCAAAAGCAGAGTCCTTCACCCTCTGATGCAGCTAAGAGAAGGGTTGAATTTTCCAGAAGGTGCTCCACCAGGCAGAGAGGCAGAGTGGAGGTTCTGTGGAGGCCAGAGGGGCGTCTCCGTGAATGCCCCCAGGCACATAGAGCTCCCATCCCCCCCACTCGCTGCCAGAGACATGCACCCCGTTTCCTCTCCTTTGCTCACCCGCCTGCTCTCCCCGGGCAGGACTTCCCTCACATCTCCGAGTTCCCCAGCGGTTCCGGATCCCGCTCACCCGGCCCGTCCAATCCCCCGAGCAGCAGCGGAGACTGGGACAGCAGCTACCCCAGCGCCGAGTGTGGCGTCAGCACGTGCAGGTGGGTCCTCACCCCGGGCCGCGCCGCAGCCCCGGCTGCCAGGGGACGGGAGGGGCCCGTGAGAGTGCCCATGGGTACCCGCAGTCTTCACGAGAAGACGCAGAACGAAGCAAGACCCCAGAAGGACAGCGCTGGTCTGACGCCAGGGCCGTTCCGGACACAGGGCCAGCCGTAGTCTTCCTCCCCACTTCCGGCCTGATTGTCTCCTGGGTGCAGCCGTGTGACACTCACAGGTGGCGCATCTGTCCTCAGTCAGGTTCCCTGGAAGCAGAGCCTGATTTGGGTGCCCTGATGGTGTCAAGGGAGAGCTTGCAGGAGAAGGGAAGGGAGGGGGCAGGACAGGTCCCAGGAAGGAGCTGAGGGGGCTCAGCCACAGACCCGCTTCCGCTCGGGGCACAGATGACACTACAGACTACAGACTTGTCCTGCTCTGAGCCTAGGGCGTTTTGTGCCCGTGTCTGTCAGCCATTGGCTCTGGGATGCCCCTGGGAGTGTGGCCCCGGGGAAGGCAGCTCTCACCCCCCCTCCCCCCCAGCAGTTCTCTGAGGAGGGCAGGGGAGGGGGTCTGGGGGAGGCACGAGCCAGAAGGGCCAAGTAGCCTTCCTGGTACCCCCACCACCCGCTGCAGCCCAGCACCCCCTCTGACGCGCTACCCCCCCCCCACTGGTCACTTGGCTCCTCCCTGGTCCTCATGTGGCCCTCGTCCCCCAACCTCCTCTCACGCCCTGCACTCGCAGCCTCTTAGCCTGTGAGCGCCACGCTAACTGCCCTTCCTCTAGAAGGTCTTCCTGCTCCAAGAGACAGTGACCTTTAATTTTGGAAGAGGGAACTGGGGTGCAGAGGGCACCCTGTGCCTTTACCCGCCAGCCCTGGCTGCCACCCTCTGGCAAGAACTAACCTTGTGGAGGCACCTGGGGGGGCTCAGTCGGTGAAGCGTCTGACTTCAGCTCAGGTCATGATCTCATGGTTCGTGGGTTCGAGCCCCGCGTCGGGCTCTGTGCTGACAGCTCAGAGCCTGGAACCTGCTTCAGATTCCGTGTCTCCCTCTCTCTCTGGCCCTCCCCTGCGCACACTGTCTCTCTCTCTCTCTCAGAAATTTAAAAAAAAAAGAAAAGAACTAACCTTGTGGCCACACCCAGGGTATGTGGTCCCTGCAACAGCCCCACACCTGGAAGTCTGGACGGTCATGTTTGGTGGACAGGAGGGCTCTCTGCTGGGCTCCAGCTGTCCCTAAGCGTGGCCGTTGGCCTTTCTGTCCCTCACCCAGCCAAGCCCGCCAGGGGGGGAGCAGACAGGGCAGGTGCCCCGCTGCTGACGGCCAGTGCCCGGCCACAGAGTGTGCCTGGGTGGGTGGGCACACTCTGCTCAGTGGGAATTCCCGGCACCCACCCAGGCAGGTGCAGACCCCCCCCCCGCCCCGCGGGCTCCCTTCCCGAGAGTCAGAGTGTGGGGCTGGGGGCTCTGTCATGGACATTAGGGAACGTGTCCGAGCTTCCCCCTAGTGCGGCGGGCAGACGGCAGGTGTGCCCTGTTTTACTTGTGTTTTAAGTGGAGGGAGAACTGGCTGTTAGTTTCAGGCGTACAACACGGTGATGAACGTGGACTTGGCCTCCTGGGAGATGATCACCAGAGAGTCTAGGTGCCGTCAGAGTTACAGATCCTCTTCTCGTCTGGAGAACTTTTCAGATCTACTGTTAGCAGCTTTCAAGCGTACAAATTGACAAAAATACAGTATTAGTAACTGAGGCCCCTGCCGTACATGGCATCCCCAAGACATATTCAACCTCTGAGCAGAAGTTTATCGATATGCCGTTTGACCCTTCACCCATTTTGCCCATCCCCGTCTGGCACCAGCAGTCTGCTCTCTGTATCTATCAGCGTGGTTTGGGGTTTGTTTAGATTCGACATGTAAGTGAGATCATCTGATACTGGTCTTTCTCATCTTTCTCGGGCTTATGTCACTTGGCATAATGCCCTCAAGGTCCCCTGCTCTTGCAGATGGGTGTCCTATTTTTTTCTAATTTTTAATGTTTATTGATTTTTGAGAGACAGAGAGACACAGAGTGTGAGCGGGGGAGGGGCAGGGAGGGAAGGAGACAGGGAGGGAAGGAATCGGAAGCAGGCTCCAGGCTCTGAGCTGTCAGCAGGCTTGAACCCATGAACCGTGAGATCATGACCTGAGCTGAAGTCGGATGCTTAACCGACTGAGCCCCCCACACTCCCTGAGCGTCCTATTTTAAAAACACAGAAGGCACCTGCCTGCCCTCCTTGGATTCCGTGTGGAATTTACAAATGGAAACCGACTACACAGGGACCTGAGAGCCGGGTGGTGTTGGAGCACCTTCTCTGAAGGGCAGGCGCTTTTCCCCAGCACTGAGGACCTCATGGTCCCCAGCAGGGTCCCAGGAGGGGAGTTTTGTTCTGCCTGGTGGCCCATCAGGGACAGACCATTCGTCTCCAGAGGGGCAGTGCATCCAGGGTGAGGGCAAAGGTGGCCCCGGGGGCCAGAGGGCACCTGGCTGGGCTCCCCAGTTCTGACAGCCTCTCCTCTCTCCCCAGCCTGCTCCCCAGGGATAAATCGCTCTACCTCACCTAATCTCGCCTCCCTTCTCCTCCCTGAGGCTGGCTGGAGGGGCGCCGCTCCGAGCCTGAAGGGCCCACAGCAGGGAAGCCTGGGCAGGAAGCAGGGTGACCGGGAAGAGAGCAGCGTCTCTTCCTCCTCTTCACATCAGACTCTGCAGAGGCAGCCCGCAGCCGTGCCACCCGCCCAAAGAACCTGCAGGAACCTTCTGCCCCCGACCTGCTTGCTCCAGGGTTACCGTGGACCCCACTCCTCGCCCTGCACAGCGTACTCTGCATCTGGACGTCTGGCCCCCGCCCAGGCTCACGTGGGCTGCCCCGGGAGGGGTCGCCTTCTGACAGAAACCCACCCCCAGATGCACGGCCCGGCTGCCTGGCCACAGACGTGCACATGCGGTTTTATGGTGTGAACAAAGATTATGAAACGTCTAAACTATTGGCTCCACGTAAGTAGTTGACTTAAGTGTTTTAGAACCGTGAAGACAGCTGTGAGATTACTTTGTGGGGGAGGGGAGTAGTTTCCTTTTAAGGTGACAACCATTTTCTATGACCCTTAGCACATTTTTTTTTAAGTTCTCTCTTATGGGGGAGGGGACGGGGAGATGTGTACCAAGCAGCTGCCAAACCAGTTCCCGCCAGCACAGCAGGCCCCGGACAGCCCGCAGCCACACCTGGGGACATTGCGTCTTTTTTTTTTTTTTTTTTTTTAACTCTATGTCCGTCTATTTAAAATTGCCAACACCAACTTTTGTCTATTTATGAAGAAAAGTTGAGGACCGAAAAGCAGTTGATCATCAAGTGTGCGTGGTTTTCGGGTCTGGTTTGGGTTTTGGTTCCTAGTGGTGTTCGCGGCTGTTTCCTGGCCCCGGCGAGTGTCCGTCCCTGCGCCCAGTGCTTCTCTCCATTTCTTTATAATAAAACGTCTGAAAAGCTGAGAGTTAGTCTGTCTCTTCGCGCGCTTGGCAAGCCAGACCCAGGCCTTCTGGAGTGGCGTCCGGTGGCAGCTCTGCCCTTGATGTCAGCGGGATGGGGCCAAGCGTCACCTGCCACTTACTCCCCCGAGGGTCCGTGTGGACGACTGCGCCTCCCCGGCATCGTGCTGCATCTGCAGAAGCAGGACAGTGCCCTCACGCGGCCCGCTGGGGACGATGGGGGTAATGGGCGTGGAGGGCTGGCTGCGCAGGACCCCCATCTGTGGGGCAGGGGCGAGAGGTGGGCTTGGGGAGCCCTGAGGATGCGCCTCACTTCTCCAAACCTGAATGTAAGGGCAGCCCGGAGAAGGGCCTCTAACCCAGATTTCCCGACAGATGTTCCGTGGCGATGCGTCAAAAAATAATAATGATGATGATGTGACTATTTTAACTGTATCTGGAAAAAATCACAGTTCCTTGGTGTGGAGCAGCCTCCCCCACCCCACCCCACCCCCGTGCACTCTCAGGGCCTCTCCCTCTGCTACCACCCATGGCAGTCACCTCCCTCCTCCCGGATAGCAGCCCCGGGGCTGGGGCGCAATCTCTCTGTGAGCAGTTTCCTCACCGGAGGGCATTTTGTAATCCACTTTGGAAAAAGAAAAAAGAAAACCAAACCAACAACAAAAACAACACGCTGTCATGTCGGTGGCATCACTGCGAAGCGAAGCATAAATATTTCATGTGGTTACAATTTCCTTTCCTGTGTGGAGCTTGTCAGTAACACGGTGATGACTTAGTTTAATATTCGACGCTTGCTTCTACGTTTGAGAAAACAGCGCTGTTGGGATCCACACAGACAACCCAGAATAAGGAGTGGGAAGCTCTCAGGCCCTTGTCGGCCCCCCAGTGCTGCCCCGTCCTTCGGAGGTGTCCGCGTGCCAAGGCTGACCTCTCCATTGTAAGGGGCGCCCGGAGACACCCGAGCAGAGTCAAATACCCTGCCTGCAGATGTCAGGGGTCGTCACGCGGCACCCCCTATCTGCCAAGGCCAGTCTGCCGTCTGGACCTTAGAGCGGTGTCCCTGACATCGTAAGGACCTTCAGCCCCCGCAGCCCATCTCCCCGTCCATGGAGCCCACCCTTCCAGGTGCCACGCACCTGCTTCAGATTCCTCCTCCTCCTCCCACGGACACACAGGAATCCCAGCAGAGACACAGGCTGGGCAAAGGCCAAGCCTCCGGAACCCGAAGGAAGGGGTGGCTGGTCCCTAGACTGTCCAGCACTAATCCCTCCTGGAGCTCCGCGGGAAGTTCTGCATTAGATTGGAAGATGGGCAACTTTGAGGGGCCTTCCAGTTAGCTTAAGAGTCCATAGTGCAGGTCGCCGGGCGGCTCAGTCGACTAAGCGACCGATTCTTGATTTCGACTCAGGTGATGATCTTGTAGTTCGTGAGTTTGAGCCCCGCGACGGGCTCTGTGCCGACAGTGCAGAGCCTGCTTAGGATCCTCTCTCTCCCCCTCTCTTTCTGCCCCTCCCACATGCTCTCATGCTCTCTCTCTCAATATAAATAAATGAACTTCAATAAAAAAGAACTAATCATGGTCAACAGTCCAGTTATATCTTTAAAAAGAAAAAAAAGACAGGGTGCCGGGGTGGGGGCTCAGTTGGTTGAGTGTCCAACTTCAGCTCAGGTCATAATCTCACGGTTCGTGGGTTTGAGCCCTGCATCAGGCTCTGTGCTGACAGCTCAGAGCCTGTCTTCGGATTCTGTGTCTCCCTCTCTCTCTGCCCCTCCCCCGCTGGCACAGAGTCTCTCTCTCTCTCAAAAATAAACAATTAAAAAAAAGAGAGAGAGAGAGACTGGGGTGCCTGGCTGGCTCTGTCGGTTGAGCATCTGACTTTGGCTTGGGTCATGGTCTCACAGTTCTTGAGTTCAAGCCCCACATCAGGCTCGGTGCTAACAGCTTAGAGCCTGGAGCCTGCTTTGGATTCTGTGTCTCCCTCTCTTTCTGTCCCTCCCCTGCTCACACTCTGTCTCTGTCTCAAAAATGAACATTAAAAAATTTTTTAAAAAAAAAAAAGAGGGAGTCCACAATGCTGAAATTCAATGTGTTCATTCTGCAAGACTGCAGACAGGTGAGCAGTTACTTTCTGCCCCGGTGGAGCACGGGGGATGCCTGGGGAATCACACACGGATTCCACCCCTAGGAGCTCCCTAGCTGTGGAAGCAGAGAAGGAAAAAGGTAACATTTAGTCATAAAAGTATAAGCTTATATTATAAATCATAAAAATATAAAATTCACAGCACTATGTGATGAGTACTAAAAGGGGCCTAGTGAATGCAGAAGAGAGGCCCCCAGGCCAGCCAGGGTCTGTGGCGTCCTCCTGGGTGAGGCAAGGTCTGGGCTGCGCCCCATCCAGTGACCAGGGCAGAGCCAGAGCCCTGACACGGGGTCTGGAGTGCCGTGCCTGACTCAGGACCCCCAGACGCCGTGGGTCTGTGACTGTGCTTCTCATCGAGAAGTTGGAGAATCCTCTCCGGAAGAAGCGGAGGCTGAGTCCGCAGAGCGGCGTGGGGGTCTCTGAGGAAGGAGCAGGGGCGGCTCCTCAGGTTGAAGGTAAACCTCGTGCACAGAGCATGTTCTCACCTGCCAGGGTCTGGGCGAAACTGGGCTCCCTGTACCGTGGGGGTGGCTGAGGGTAGTGTGCGCTCAGAGGTGGTCTGAGAGTGGTAACGGGCCTCTGTGTGTGTGTTATGTGTAGGGTGGTGAGGTGCCCCTGTGGTGTGTTTGTTTCTGCATGTAGTGGTGTGCACGCAAGCCTGTGCTGTGCACCTGTATATCTGAGGTGTGCATGTCTGTGCAGTGTGCTTGTGAGTACACGATCATGTTACATGTGTGTGGTGTGCATGTGGGAGAGGACACACGTGTGCAGTGTGTCCAAAACACACACAGATGCGTGCACACACATCAGACTCACACACGGGTGCATTACACATGCCCACACATACAAGCACACATGCACATGCACACACATCACACGTATTACCAGTACATAATGCATGGCACATCGGAGTGCACACCGTACACATCACATGCCACAGGCATGCAATGCCCATGCACACATGTATGCTGTGTGCACACCCATCATGCAGTGACACACCATACACGTGAGCATATACACATGCGCATCACACACATGCACGCTACGTTCATACACAAACCCACCATGCACATGCATACAAACCTCTTCCTTCACCCACCCACTAGACACACAAGGGCATATATATACATTTTTTTTTTAGAGAGAGAGCGTGAGGGCGTGCACGATCATAAGCAAGTGAGGGGCAGGGGGGGAGAGAGAGAGATGATCCCAAGCAGGTTCCATACTTAGCATGGAGCTCTTCATGGGGCTCGATCCCACAACACTGGGATCATGACCCGAGCCAAAATCAAAGAGTTGGACACTTGGCTGACTGAGCCACCAGGGCACCCTGCACACAGATGCATCTTGGTATACACATGACCATCGCATGTGCGCACACACACGTGTCACACAGCTGCACATACGAATGCACAGAGCACACGCATCTCTCTGTGTGAGTTGATGTGGGAATGAAATGTTCTTCAAAACTGGAAAGAGTTCACATGCAAAAACTCTGACCTGCAATTATAGGTTCAGGGGCTTTTAAAAAACGGCCCAGCACATCAGCTGTTACACAGCTCTGCTCCCTCAATTGTCCCAAATGAATAACCCCAAACCCGGCAGAGGCAGCACGGCAGTCACTCAGTAGTGGGCTCGGTGGTGAGGGGGGAGGCGGGGCCAGGGCACCCCTGGAGACGATGGCCCAGGCCGGCTGACTGTGCCACCTCCCCCTTCCCCGCGTCCTGCAGTAGTAACTGTGGGTCGGCGTCCCCTGCTTCTGTGGTGCGGTCGTGTAAGCTGAGGTTTCCTGCCGGGCCAAGTTGTGTTCCTGAATCACATTTTTCCCTTGAATAATTCTCTGCTTTTGCTTTTTGTTTCTCGGGTGCTCACTTTCCCAGTCGGTGTCACATGAGCTTCTGGGACCCCACAGCCCTGTGACTCACTCGGCTTGTGCTCAGATGCTGGTGCCAATCCGTCCTCTCTCTCTGGAGGCGGCCTCACCCCAAAGCTTCCTTTCTTTGCTTGTGATTCAGCAAACTGCTCTGCTCTGACCCACCAGAGGGTCCTCTGCTTTCTGGGTTCCATCGAACCCTCTCTCTGGCGTCGCTTCTCCGTGGTGGCGGAGCACATCTGCCCCTGGCTTTCTCAGAAAGGGCAGATGGAAAACAAAGGTGCAGGTCTGCAAACGTTTCCATTCTCCCCGCGCCC